TGAAAGAAACCACTGAGTCACATTTTCATGATCCCACACTAGCTAGATATCCCCTTAGATCAGTTAGAATATTTGATCCTCCTCTTTGTCGAACTGTTAACTATTATAATAGCTTTTTTCCATCCATGTTTAATGAAATAAATAATATCGCTTCAGACCTTCACAATATTCGTTCCGCCTATCAGTTCAAAAAGTTAATTACACCTATTCCAATTTCAAACACAAGAACAACTGATGTCTATAAGTTTTTAGGAAATAGGGAAACTAATATTATTCTCTGTCAGTTGAGAAATGAGGCCAGTAGCCCAAATAATGACCGTCAGAAAGATTATTTTACTGAGTCCTCTGCACGTTCTTGTGGTTGTAGATTTGAAACAGCATCTCATTACTTCCATTATTGTATCAAATACACTGAATATCGTTTTCTACTTTTTCAGAATATATTCCATGAAACGCACAACCATTTATCATTAGATGTCATGCTAAATGGTTGTGAGAGATGTGATGAAAATGAAAATAAACATATTCTCCTATCTATATCCAATTACATTTTAAGTTCTAGAAGATTCAGGACATTTAACTTCAATTTTGAATGAAATTTTACATTTTATTTATTTACAATTTATTTATTTGTTTACATTTTATTTTTTCTCAATGTAATTCTTCTGATTTCCAGAAATGGTACATGAATATCAATATTAATATTTCCTATTTGTCTTCATTGTTTATTTTTAAATATTGTTAGTGAGGGGGGCTGGGGTTCAGGAGACCAGTTATACTATTTTTATGAAAAAATATTGGGAAACAACTACATAAATAAGAATATAAAGCTTTACAACATGTTAATTATATATATAACCTGTGTTTAATATGCATAAATTAAACTATTTGGTGGGATTGAATTTCCAAACTCATCAGTGGATGGCCTTGTGTGATACAATGGACATTTTGGTCTGTATCTGTTGGGTGTGGTAATTTAGTCCCATCAAATGTTTATACCTGCAGCTCCATCAACAAATTATTTTCTTTTCTCTTCATAATATGTATATACCGGTATATATTTCATATGTCTTTTCAATATCAAAATAAAAGCCATTAGATTCAATTATAATAAACATGAGTATTAGTAGTTGTTTCCCCTAATTTGATTATTAATTTGATAATACCAACTTGTTTATATGTGTTTGTATGTGTTATAATGTCTATGTCTATGTTTGTACCACTGTCTGTTACTATGTTTGGAAAGGGCTTAAATAGGCTATGCCTGCTGCCCAATCCATTTGTCCTTTGACAATAAAATTTATTGAAATTGAATATGTTTTATAAACTGTATGCAGCAAAACTCAATTGATAGCATTCTTTCACACACAAAAAAATCAAAAACAAAAAACATGCAAAAGTTGAAGATTGACAATATTTCATTTTTAGTTACCGTGGATATATCGGCCTATGATGTCCGATGCATCCTACATTAAGTTACGTTTCAATTGTCGTAAATAGCAATGATAAAGTAATGTTAAAACATTTGACTCAAACAAACAAAACAAAAAATGAGACTAACGTATAAAAACTGGCCGATTTATTTGACATATCTAATAAGTTATAATGTACACTGGTATTTACTGCTGTACAGTTTTTGAAGTAAATAAGAAAAAATATCGATTTCGTAGTAACAATTCCATATTGAAGATAAAAGTAACAAACAAAGAAGTGTTGCAAACAGGGTGAACATTGCCCCACGATACATTTAGATGTTCTAGCGTAAATCAATTAATTTGAACAAATTTCTCACTAAAATAATGCTTTAACTACACTGACGTTCAATAATTTCATCTCTCCTGTGTTTTTAATTGAGTCTATGCCGCATTTACAAAATACAAAATATACATTCTTCTTGCACCACTTAAGAACAATGCGATTGTATTTCATGTTATATTTAACACTTATTCAATTTTTTTTTTTTTTTTTTTTTTTCAAATTATACTTTTTTGTGTATGAACTCGGGTTCAATCAATTTACCACGCTTAAAATGTTCCATCACAGTTCATCTTTCTAGCGTATAAGACTGTATATGCCCTCTTTCTGGGACCTCTTTTCTTCTACCTCCTGACATAATTGAATCACTTCTGACGTCTGAACATAAAATAGTCTTTCATTGTAGTCAGCAAACTGAAATTGTTCAATCGATTGGAATATGCTAAATAAAACCACAGTTACTATTTCTAAACATAGAATGTTACTGTATGGCCACATTTTATGTCTATATTGTTTCAGTGTGCATTGATATCAATTCATATTTTAATCTTTTGTGAACTCAATTTTGTTTCAGAAATATATCTTACAAATGTTCTCTACAGTATGCATATTCGATGTACTGAATCGTTCTTCACATGAAAACTTGCGATTACTGCATGACACACTTTTGGTAATTATAATAATTAAGGTTAATATTCTTTAAAAAATGAATTGCAACAACGTTATACTTTTGTTGCAGACATAGCGCATGACCCGACAAAAAATGTATCACCCAAAAAGTATCACATAATTTATCATAAACAAGTAGCCCAAAGACCCTACCATTGACATGGGATAGAAAATTGTTTTACGGAGCACTGACATGTATATAAATCATGTATTCACAGCAAGATAGGACATAAGAGACAAACAATTTGTTTTAGCATGGTCTACATACACAGTATACACAGTTTGTATAGTGAGTATTCGCCAACAAAGACTATCTCGAAAAATTGGTCTGATTTATTGAAAATATTTCAACTTTATGACCACGAAAAGATATAAAAGTCATTATTTAACAGCCATGATAACCCTTCATTTATAGTATCTACTGTCTAAATCATGACACTATGCATAGATCTGTTATCTTTAATACCAGTAAAAATATTTTCTAAAGAAAGTTTATAGACTTGCACTCTTGCTACACACTATTTAGATTGTATGGCAAATGGATCTTAGAAAAAGCTGTTTGAAGGTTTTAACATATTTGACCTTTGTGACATTAGAAGACGGGCAATGTAACTTATTTAAACATCTTTGATACCAATTATTCCCATCTTCCTACTGCTCAAAATAAATACCCTAGGCTTTAAAACTGATGTAAAGACGTTGCTTGAGACTTTTACAATGTTTGACCCCAGTTTACATCAAACAAAGGCCAATGTAAGTTATTTGAACAACACGGAAAAAATAATTATTTCGTGTTGATAATTCACTGGTCCCATAAGAAATATGCACACAATAACCCAATGTATTGTTTTTCTCTTAAGAAGTCCAATATGGTGAAATGCTAAACGTCCGTTTGAAAGAAAGCACTCCAAAGTTGATTGAAACAAAATTGAACGGTTTAAGCTCATTGTCCCATTAAGATCGCAACCAAATTGTAGTGAGAGCTTAAAACAAATAAAGAAAGGGAAAATGTGAACTCAATATCAGATATTTCGGTAGATAATACCATAGAAAAGGAGGACGAGACCTGATTCTCCGAAAATGTTAGCATCTTCTGCTTTCTCGACAACAGGCAATTATGCTTTCGCTTTGAGAGTAAAGGTTCAAAGATTTTGTTTTTCAAATAATTACCGCCTCCTAAACTTGTCTGGAGATTTCGGAATTTCATCTAATCTCCAGAAAAAAGGAAGGATGTATTGTCATTGCCAAGAAGTGCTTTAACTTTTGGATTCCACGAGTTTTAAAAGAGTGATCTCCCCTTTTTAACATTTTAAACTGTGCGGCAATCCGCCCCTCAACCTCCTACGAAACAACGGCATCGATTGATAAAAATACTGTACATTTTCCTTTATGACATTAAAAATCAACAAGAGTTGTGATCCATGAAACACCACACCGAAAGGTGCATTTTAGACACATGCACAGACCATACCGTACAGAAAATTACGTTTTTACTGTGATAACTTCAAGGTGTTGTACATGGAAAAAAATATGTTCAAGCGGCAGAAACAGGTAGCCATTTGGACACGCCGCAGAGAGCCAAGTCACAATTGAGATGAAGGGGCTCACATACTCGTATTAATTATGACAAAGTATTGAACAAAAAGACGTTAATCGATCTGTTGATTTGAATTGCATCCTTTTGTACAGTCAGTAAACACAAGCGTAGCGAAATCAAAGGTGACTGTATAGCCAACTCGTACATATTTGTAAAAGTTGTGTACATACGCTTCAACGGGCAGTTGTTTGATGAAGTTGATAGTGTACATACCTTGCTAGTGATCAATATGTCATATAAACCATGGACCGAAAAAAATCTTGTGAAATTCATAGATGCATTTTTGCTTGACTAAAGCACTGAAACATGTCTTGCTGACGTCACCCTTTAGGGGTCACATTCTAAATTTATACAAAATCTGATTCTCCTCTCTCCCGAGTGTCCTATACTGAAATGGTCTAAGTAAAACAAATGTGCAGTACTCTTTTTATATCCCGTTTATCATCCTTTCAAATTCTATATGCAGAAAAGATTGATCCCTAAAGACATTTTTAAATGTAAAAAATCTGATGGAAACTGAATTTTATTATGCTTTTCCTGGCACTTCAACGAAAAATAAAGAAACCAAAATGAGGTAACTTATGACAAATAATGAGTACACATACACGAATACAATATAATTTGCAAGACAAGGACATCATACATTATCAATTGCTATATACCATCGGAAAGAAAATTGAAACTGCCATTTCACAGTGGAAGCAGTTTTTTGTATTGTTTTGTGTATTTCAAAATGTATTGCATGAATGGCACACGGGGTCCTGAGTGTCCTGCAAATCATTGTAGGGGGCGCTGCAGTCACAAATTTGTCTATTTAAGGAACAAATAAATTTGTGGATTTGTATTTCATGACAATTGAATATATTATGCTGAAAATGCTAAAATCGTTCACGGGCCACCATGCAACACCTCCTTTGTGTACAGCTATAAATGGTAATCGATTTTTAAAGTTTAAGATCATAAAAAAACGTGTACTTACCACATTGAACGACTGCCAATGTCAAAATGAAGAGAAGGCAAGTCAGAAACATTGTAACCTAAAACAGATTTAAGCGAATGATATTTTTTAACATTTTGAATGAAATAACAGTATTCATCAATTTCTGTTATAAGATAGAAGGAAAAATACCGAAGTTGAAAATCATCCATGCATGTATTGATAGTTTTTTTATATTGACATTAATATTATTTTACATATTTTCCTTTTAATATGTTACATTAAGATTGAATCAGCTTTTCTTGCAAAAATGCATCTAACTGAAATCATATCCATGCAACAAATGTATCATCTTGATGTTGTGTAAGTTTGTAACATGCACTTGATGTTATCAATGAATAGTACAAAGCCGAACAAGTGTTTTACTTTAATGACGTTTACACAACCCACTTTATATATTACTGTAATATTGCTTATTAAACGCGTATAATGAAAATGCACCAATTTCCTTCAAAATAAACAGAATATGCTGGAGGAAAATCTACATACTTTTAGTAACAGTGTAAACAAATATAAATTAATCTATAATATCACAGTTTTAAAGTTTATAGTGTGTTTAAGACATAATGTTATGCATTCAATACAACCGGAAAAAATACTTAATTCAAATTTGGTAAAAAAATAATACAATTTCTCCTTTAATTTAGCACATATTATGTTTTCATATGCTGAAGACAACGGTATTTGCAATTCGACAGAACTTGTGCTGTACTATTTTGGATTTATAATATAGCAAACTAAACGTACCTCAAAAAGTGTATTGTAGCATTTTCAGATTACATTGTTCTATCAAAATTCGTGAAATAATACCTCTATCGGCAAATGAAATTATGATTAAACCGATTTAAATATGCCAGCAGGAGTGGATGACAGCATAATACTACACAATGAAGGGTTCCTTAGTCAAGTCAAATGTTTAAATTACAATATAAAATGATGCTGATACATACCATGTTGGGTGTTCTGTTCCTCACTTGTAAATGCGGGATCGTACAAACAGCGCTGGTTTATATAATCACCAGAGACACGTGATTAATACCTTACATACTAGGGTGACGACAAACCTAACGTTGTTAATACTCTACCGTCAATCTTGCATATTACTTGGATACCAAAAACTTAACCACTCCCACTATACTCATGAGAAGCCAATCACCATACGCATAGACAACCAAAATTATGAAATTAGAAGAGTTTCCTATTAAGGATATCTGTTTCAATGCAGGCAATACTCAGATAATGCCGTTGAAGTTTTTGGTCCTTTTTCATTTTCTCCTAAACAATTATGTTGATATTCATTCTACTTATTTCGTCTTTAATTACTCACTGTTTCCATAACGTTGGTAAAATATATGTTTCTTTTTCAGAAATGATCTTACCAAATCTATTGCCATAACGGTTAAATGTTTGCAAATTCATAAGTATAGTGTTTGGCAGTGGTTTGGATTTCTAACAGTGATTTGGGATTTTGGTTAGTCTATTTGTTTTAACAGGGGGACTGTTGGTGCGTTCAGGGGACAACGGCATTTGGAACTTTGGATAAAGCACTTTTCTTATTGTGTTTCCTTGTTTTCTAGGCCCCCTTATTTGTTTTTTGTTATTATCTCTATTATGGCGTAAATATTGCATCTTTGTTTTTAGGTCACATGAGATCGCCTTTTGTCCGTCGTCGTGCGTCGTGCGTCCTTAATTAATTTACATTTTCAACTTCTTCTCCAAAACCCCTAAACTAATTTCAATGCAATTTTGCAGAAACCGTTCTTGGCCAAAGGTCAACCAAAAATGTGAATTATATGGTTCCCAGAAAAGGGCCTAAAAGGGCCAAATTGACTCAAATTCTTCACAAGATCCAGATATGTTAGAATTGAATACTCTTCATAGATGGAAGGGCCTTAAGCTGCTTTATCAAAATTGTGAATTTCATGACACTGGGATCTAGCATTTCCCCCTGGGGAGGGGGTAAACTTTATTATAGTTTATATGGGGAAATCATATTTTGGACCAACATTTGTTTAATATCCATCGGAAGTAATTCAAACTTAGTTAGCATTACCTGCATGGATAGCAGTTTGATGGTATGCACATATCAGCCCTGACTGACCCCCGGGGCTGATGGGTGGGGCCAAAAGGGGTCAAATTGACTGAAATTTCAAAACTCTTCTTCTCAAGATCTAGATATGGTAGAATCAAATACTCTTCATATATGGAAGGGTGTTTGGATGCTTTACCAAAAGTTTTAATTTCATGACCCTGGGATCTCATGTTTCCCTCTGGGGAGGAGATAAACTTTACTATAGTTCATATCGGGAAATCACAGTTTTGAGTGTCATTTGTTTAATTGCCATTAGAAATAATTTAAACTTGGTTAGAATTATCGGTACTGGATGGCAATAAGATGGTATGCACATACAGTTATTGCCCCTTGCTGACCCCCAGTGGTTGATGGGCGAAAAGAAGTTGTCAAATTGACTGAAATTTCAAAAAGTCTTCTCCTCAGTTCCAAGATAGGGTAGAAATACATACTCTTCATAGATAAAAGGGTCTTCAGGTGGTTTATCAGAAGTATGAATTGAGTTATCCCATGGCTTCCTGTTCCTCAATGGGAGGGGTGAAATTAATTACTATAGTTTATATCGGAAAACCATACTTTTGGGTTCATTTTGTTGATTTTCAACTACAATGATAACATTATTGACAGTTTGAATATTTAGACCCTGCCCTACACCAGGGGGTGAGGAGCAGGGTCAACTATAATAAAATAAATTATATAGGTTGCAATTTCTACAGTCTTCTTCTTATAAAATTTGGATATGCTAGAAAGAAATACTATTCTTAGAGGAAAGGATCTTAAAAGGTGCTTTATCAATATTGTGAAATTTAATACCCAATGGGCTGAATTTGAGCTCTACCTTCTCCCCTGGTGAGGAGTTGATTGGAATTAAAACTCTATGAGATGAGTTTGATGCGATTTTACACTGGTGCCCCTCCAGGGGCTAATAAGGGTGTGGTTTATATATCATGTAGGTGTAAAATTCTCTATCATTAACAACATTTTTCTTTGGGTTCAGGTGTTGGAATCAAAAACATTATTGAGGATAACACATTTGCCTTTGGGGAGAAGTGTTTACTGTAGTTTACTGTTGATTGATCTGAGTTACTTTGATGTTTTGGTCAAAATCATTCAAGTTTATAGTTACTAGGTCACATAAGACGAAGTCGCAAGTGACCTATTCTAATCGCCTTTTGTCCGTCATCGTGCGTCTCCAATGGCCGAGGGGCAGGGTTAAAAGGGGTCAGATTGGCTTAAATTAAAAAATCTTATCCAGGCCAGGATATGCTGGAAACAAATAATCTACATAGATAGGAGGGTCTTAAAGCACTTTATCCTCTGGGGATTGGGTAAAATTTACTTAAGTTATGTAGAAACTTTTGGGTATATTTGGTTTATTTCCAATTGGAAATCATTGAAACTTGATAGACATTATAAATTCGAAATGACAGTCTTATACTATGACAGTTTGGGCTTTGGCCATCTTGGAATTCTTCTCCAGACTCAGATATGGCTTCATTGACTTAAGTACTATCCCTGAACAAGCAATGTCTGACACATGCACAGAACCAATTTTGTATTTCAAGAAGAATAAACTGGAAAAGATTTTAAAAAATGGCGTACACATCCATAGTGTTATATCATAAATAACTTTGCCAAAGGCTTCATTGTTCTCTTAAACAACACTTTTTGTTTGTCGTTTATCATGTTAATCTTAACATTATTAACAAAATATGCGACCTTTTGATCACAAAAAGCTCAAAACAAATATCTTTCTCATATCAACTGGTGTTAAATTTAGATGATGTATTCAACTCACAATTATTTGGTTTTTTTACCATCTAGTTGTATGTAATTTTTGTTCAGTATAAAAAGATGCAAAGCTTCCAAATGGCAAATTACAATACACAAAAACTCTTCATTGTTTAATCAATATATTAAATATTTGATAGAACAGCTGTTTTCTTTATAGCAAGTTACCTTACTCAAATAAACCCCCAAAAAAATCCAACAGCTCGTTCTACCGTAATAAGAAAAAAAGAAGTGAAAAGATGATGTGCCCCAGCTAGGATCGAACACACGACACTAAGTCCCGGGGGCGAACGCTCTACCACTGAGCAAAAGAGACATGTCCTGTCAGCTGGTTGACAGAACCATATTTGTACATAGTATATATACTACTCTGATCTTTCACACTACTTTTGCATTACATGTGGGTCAAGTTACTCTTGTTACAAAATGATTTCTTTTTCATTTGGCAAGATCGATAACATCAGTTTTTACATAACTCAGGTGACCGTTAAGGCCAATGGGCCTCCTGTTTGTCGTTTACATATAAATAAAATCGATGGCGAGTGGAATTCAAAACCCTTGGAAATATATATGCCTAAGTCATATCTAACTCTCAGACGGGTCATGACAGATCTAGTTGCAAAATAAAGGTACGTTGAGATTTTGACTTACCCAAAATCCTTTTCATGTCCGACGGGAGAATCGAACCCAGTTCGCCTTAGTGAAGGCGAGTGCGTCATTCACTGCGCTAACCGACCATCCAATGTGACTATACTGTAATGTTTCCTTTGAGATTTACAGTCATGCACATACATTGTCTTCCTAGCTTATCTATTGCAAGGACGCAAAACGCAAACACACAAACATACAAAGCTATCCAGTCAAGTGCTACAACATTTGTACTTTCATTTCGGGCGGATATAATTGAGAACAAAAAATATGCAAACGTGTAAAGCAACCGTTACCCAAACAAGAAATTGTTAAATTAGGGCAAAATATAAACACAGGAAATATATAAAAATATATCTTAATTATTTATTTTTAAGAATATATGACCACATGTATATGATACTAAATTATGTCAATTTTGTTCGTTCATTTTATATGTACTGAACTGCATAAATTCTGCATCAGCCAAAACATTTATTTGGAAGGAAAATATGTGACAAATGCAATGTGCCTGGATACTTCAATGTCATTTAAAACAGGATATCCTATCTTTCTAAACAGTTTCTTCAGGTTGGTAAACGCTCTTCATGTCTTCTTCATACACCTGCCCGACCATCTGCTCTGCTAAGCTGATATCTGGACTTGAATGAATGCACGTCCACCGAAAATGAAATTGCCAGCGTAAACGAGTAAGAATTTGCCCGACAGATGGTCTTTTAGCACAAAGTCGACCTTCTCGTTGACGTCGGCGGACTGTGTTTGAGGATACATCAATCGCTCGTGCCGTAGAAGCTGCTGGCAATAATCTGTTCCAAAGATACGTGAATTATATGTGTTCGAAAATGAACGAACTTACATGAAGACTGAGCATAACGCTTTGTGATTGTGCCGTTAGGATTTTTTGTCTCTTCACATCACAAAGTTTGTCAGTACATGTGCACTCGGGTCTCTAAACAGGAATTGAAAACTAAGTTTGCGAGCTTTCGAAACGTTAAAGTCCTCTGTCAAGCAAAGTGTGTACGACCGGTGTCTCGACTATAAGCCGCTGAAATCAGCTCACTAAGTCAGTGTGCAGAAGTCAGCTGTCAAAAACTTGTATTGGCTGATGTATTGTACTGTTTCTCCGATGTCTTCCTTGTATTTTTCGTTTCATAGCTTTAAAGTCCTTTTGGTATTCTTTTAGGCGTGTTCCTAATTTCCGGCCAGTTTTTCAGATATATGCAAGGTTGCAGCTGCTACATGGAATTTGGTTAACCCCCTTCCTTCAGCAATTTGTCTTTTTCGGATGAACCTATAGTTGCTTGATGGTATCATTGGCGTGCTGATTTGATGTTTGCTTAACACGCTTGAAATCTATGTATGTTATAGAAACATGTCGTTAGTTGTTTTTAGCTCTGTGTTTGTACATTTTTGTTTATTGGTATCAACGTATCAACGTGTAAGAAATACACATTACGAAATGTAAAATCCTGGTGAGAGAATCTGTAGA